TCGAGAAAGACACATCCAAGCTCAACTAGGGAAGGCTCCACTTCCAAGCTCGCTTATAGGACTGTGGGCAGGATTCAGTGGCTCCTGAGCTGTCAGGCTGAAGGCCTCAGTTCCTCGCTTCCCCACATTTTGACAGAGAAGGTAGGGGTGCTGAAGCACCACGTACCTGGATCCCCCCGTGGTTGGGGCACCACGTGGCAGGCCTGGGTGCAAGGTCTCTATGGCTGGCACCTGGGAGCTTGGGACTGTTCCCACTGCAACTAGAGCGCGGTCTGCTGTGCCTCAGCTGTCTGTGCCAGCAGCACTTGGAACACCTGCTTCCCCAGGGAGTCTGGATGTTGGAGGTGCCAACAGAAGGTGCCACGTGACTCCAGCCCTGGGCACCAGGTCTCAGGAGCTACCCTAGCAGACAGCATTCTGCACGTGCTGTCACGACTGACTGCATGAGTTCAGTGTGCCCATGTGCCTCCCCAGGAGGACTCTTGGAAGCTGCTCCTGGTTTCTCCATGGGTCACCCTGTGCCTTTCCCTCTGCTGCGTTTACAAGCCTGTCACTGTAACAAATCACAGCTGTGTGACCATACACTGAGTCCTGGGTCTCCTACAATCAGTCAAACCCAGAGGTGGGTCTTGGGGACCCTGGGCACTGTGCAAGAGAGTGCCACCAGCATGATAGAAGCCACAGTCTTCCCTCAGCTTATTTGGACATACCACCCCACCACTCTTGTCATTCTGTGCATTGGAAGCCAGTCACTAGGTGCAGCCAGCACGCCTAGAAATGCACAAGGGTGGGATTCCTGGAGGCAGGGACCTCCAGGCCATCACAGAGGCACACAGAAGGCCATGCCCTCCTGCTGGCTGCTGACCTTTCACCACAGTAAGCGATGGACACAGACCAGTGCTCCAAGAATGGAGTTCCATTTACTAAAGTGAAATGCAAAGTACACGTAAAGTGTTTCATTCATGTGAAATACACACACACACACAAAGAACAGGGATGCCCATTAAGAACTTTGCCCTCGAGACTCACATCTGCCCAGGTCTCTCTTACATCATTTGTCATGTATCTATTTGTTAAATAGGTCTAAGATTCCCATGGTTCAATACAGACCACCCCCAACTTATGATGGTTTGACTTATGATTTTGTGGATGGTGCGAAGGTGTGGCTTCAGTAGAAGCCAACTTCAAATTGTGAACTCTGCCGGGCTAGTGACCTGCCATGGTTTCTTTGCAGCCTGTCAGCCGCGCTAGCGCCGGGGGAAACCACCATCCCCTGTAGGGGCTGCCCCAGTGGGCTACGCTGCCAGGTGCCTTTCCCAACCACAGGCTAACGCAAGTGTTCTGAGCACGTTTAAGGCAGGACAGCTGGGCTGTGAGGTTTGGCAGGTTAGGAATATTAAATCCATTTTTGACTCAGGATACAACCTGTCATAAGTTGAGGAGCATCTGTATTTAAAATCTTTTTCTGAATCTTGGCCTGAGGCTGCAGTAGATTGTCCCGCCCCCCCCACCCCAGGCAACCTACTGTGTCCCCATTACACAAAGGGCCTCACAAACTTCCCTCCACTTTGCCTTCCTCTCTCTTATCAACCACTAGCCTCCAGGACACAGCTGCTTCAACTCCTTTGGTGGCCAGAGCATTCCACTCAGTGTCCCTGTACCGTTCACATCCCAGTGCCCTGGGTGCAGATGCCAGGGACTGTTACAAACCACGTTGCCTCCAACAACATTGCAGACACATCCACATGTTGCACGGGTGCAACGTTAACTTGTTGGGTCAATGTTATGCTTGTCATTCTTTTTTAAGAAATTTATTTTACTCATCTTCCAAGTATTGCAAAATTCAAAGGGTTGTGAGTGAAAAGTTTGTCTCCTGTTTATACCCCACCCACAATGAGGCAACCACTATTCTAGACTCAGGGGAGGAATTCAAGAGGCCCTGGGCACAGAGAAGCCTGTCTGGGTAGGAGCGAAAAATCCTTCAATGTCTTTTCTGCATTGCATTCTTTGGTGATCAGATCCTTGCCAAAGTGTTGCTTAAAACTAGAGAAAGAAGCCCGGTAGCCCACACCTATACTCTTAGCACTCCAGGAGGCCAAGCCAGAGGTGGCTTGAGCCAGGAGTTGGAGGTGGCAGTGTGATGACAATGAGGCCACTGCAAAGGAAGGGGGTGTAGGGAGCAGGGGAGAGAGGAAGGAAAGGGGGGGAGGCAAGGGGGAGGAGCAGGTTGAGAGCAGGGAAGGAGGGAGGGAGGGGAGGGGAAGGGTGGAAGGAAGGACTTCAGTGGAAGAATTCATGTAAGAATATCCTTCTCTTGTTTTTTAAAGTCTCATTAGGCTTAGCCATACACCATCATCAATCATTTCCACCTTATTTATCAAAAAACAGGATTTTTAAACAACTTTTCTCCCTGCGTAGTCTATACTTCTTGCTACTTGTTTTGTTTGCTCCAATCTCTATATTCAAAGCTGGAGGCTGTTCTCAGATGTATGGTAATGCACCTGGGAGCCACTGGCCATCTCTGAGTGCCCCTGCTGGAGGACGGAAGTCCATTCTCTGGGAATCCGTGAAACCACTATCATTAGGGCCTTTCTAGAACTACACGGGTTCCCCAGAGAAGCTTCTTTCAGGATCCCCCTCTAGAGACCATGGTCTGCCACATTAAATGTCCTGGGACTAAGGGAGACAGACATGCAGTCACTACACACCTCTGCACCTCGATGGCACCGATCCCCTCTGTGCCCAGCACCCTCAGTCTAGGGACGGCAGCAGCGAGTAGAGGAAGGGTGATGGAGTTTTGGCTATGACACACCCAGTGAGTTTGTGGAGTGCCAGAGCCTGAGGTATTGGCCTCATTAAAAGTGGGGAATTAGTATATGTGAGATTTGAACAATTATGTAGAAACCATGGGGAAATCTGGGCATGCAGCTCAGTACCACAGAGGGTTCTCTACCACAGAGCCGTGAGCAGAGGGGCGGTGCCTGCAGGAAACCCGCGCTTGCTGAACTGGAGGCACTGCGTGACGTGGTCTTCAATGAGGCTAAGAACACAGGTGAACTACGCAGACGTCCTCAGTCGGCCTCTGTATCCAGAGGCTCTGCTCCTTTGGGTTCACGCAACTGCAGGTGGAAAATATATAAAAACTGCATGGTCTCATCTGCACTGCACCTGTTGATTCTTCCTTGTCATTTCCCTCAATAATACACTATATTTTCACAGTATTTACCTGTATTAGGTATTTTAAGTCATCTGGAGATGATCTAACATCTATAGGAGGAAATGCAGACATTATATGCAAATATGCATCATTTCACATCAGGGACTTGCGTATCCATGGATTTGGGTATTCGCAGAGGGTCCTGGAACCAATCCCCGCGGACACCAGTGGATGACATGTAAGTGCGCACACAACATTTACTGCCAAGTTACGCTCCCTTAGACGTCTGTGAGAAAGGACCCCACAGTGGCAACGCACACAGCTACCACCAGATCTTGGTGTCTTACTATCAAACTCCATATAAGGGCCCTGGAGTCCCTCCAGGATCTCTCTTGTTGTCCCAGAAAGTAGGATGATACAGGGGCACATAGGATACTGGGACCAACTAGAAGCAGCTCCCACTGGCTGGCCTTTCAGGTGGAGCATCAAAGTAAATGACAGTTAACAGATTAAAACTAATTGAAAAAGATAGGATCCTTGATTCTGTACTGATATAAATGAATAAAGAAATAGGGAAGGTGCTTAACGCATGCAGAATGAAATCTAATAATAAAGGAAGATAAAGCAGAATATTGTTATTTTGCAGCTACATAGTAAAAACTGGTTAAGACAAAAATAATCAGGCGATGCTAAAGTTGATAGTTAAAAGTTTGATGTGAAACAGGAATAGTCTTGAAACATCTCCCTGCAAAATACTAACATGGAGGACCACGGAAGGCAGGCACCACTTTAGCTGAGTAAAACGATAGTACAAGGAGCAGTCAACATCCTGAGCCTCCTCACACCACACGTCTCTGTGTTAGTCTCACCAAAAATGGATAATCATGGGGACACGTTAGACCAAAACACCAGAACTGAAGAACATTCTGCAGAATGACTAGCCTGTAATCCTCAAACTGTCTAGGTCACCACAGACTGAGACTTACTCCAGATGGGAGTAAACTCAAGAGACAAGACAGCCAAAGGCAAGCCACACTGGTGAGTTGTGACCTTATGCCAGATGTTCCTGCGATGCTTGTGCTGTAAGTAGTTGAGAGGGCTTTCCTTATAGGACAGACACACCAAAGGAGTAAGGGGTACCTGTCTGCAGTCAGCTGTCGAATGGTTCAGAAAAGACTGAGTCACATATATACACAGACAGACAGACAGACACTCAGAGACACCCATTCAAAGGTAAAAAAGGGCAATGCACGTGAGAATGAAGGTGAAGGGCAAACAGCTCTTAATGCCACGAGTTAGAAAGTTTTTCAAAACAGACCCAGGAGACAAATCAGCCCAATGCAAGGTGCAGTTTGTGTTTGTACAGACTGATCATCTAAACTGCATTGGTGACCGCAGAGGCCAGGTGCTGTCCTGGAGGCCCACCCACCACGCTGCTGCAAGGCACCAAAGTTTTAAAATTGTCTTGATAAACTGCGTCACCAACCCCAGAACCAGTCACTGAGTGTGACCGACTGAGGTGGCCTGGCAGCTCCTTCCCATCAGCATCAAGGACAGGTCCACCAGCCAGTCCTGAGGGAACCTGCTCCAGGCCTGGAGACCTCCCTCTGTCGCCCTGGGCTGTCTTACATCTCCAGGCAGAGGAGGGCTGCGCCATAGGAAAGAGGCCAGAGTGATGCTGCTTGCCAGACGGCTGACCAGCTTCACAGCTTTTGCTAGTTAAAAAAAGGGGGCTGCAATTCCAAACTGTCTTTTAGCAAAAAAAAAAAAAAAATTGTTCTTTCTACCGCCTAAGAGCAAAAACCAAAGTTGTACACATATACACATTATTAATAACTTTATTTAAATATTCCAAGTATCCCAAATCCCATTTAAAAATAAAAACTGCAAATCACTTCATTCAATAAAAGTACATAAAATCTCCTCATAATTAGTATAACAATTCATGATACAGCTCTTCCTCTGAGAAATGTTTTGTTTTACCCTTTATTACAAAAGGCACAGACGTCATCTGAGGCCTCAAAGAAGCCCCTCTGCATATTCACGTCACACGGCTACTGTGCAGCCAGATACGACTGTTAAAGCTCATACGATAGTTTCCCAACAATCCATAGGTACAGATTCTTTCTATAAATAATAATTAAAAAAATACTGGACTGTAAGACCAATATAGGCTTAATAAAATGTACCTGAAATTTCTGCAGGAGTTTTATTTCTTTACATAAGTATGACTAACAGTGAAAGTCAATTACCAGCAACAGACACGCCAGACCCACCTTGGCCAAGGACACCAAACACTGATAAAAAGAACAACTTCCAAGGTGCCCAAAGGGTCCCGCTGTAAGCTCCACACCAAAGCAGCAACTACCTGACCGTTCCTACCACCCAACTGGTCTGCATCTAAAAATACACATTTTCTATGTCAAAATAGTTCTGGATTTGGTTTCTGAAGATGCTGACCAAGGTGCAGACCTGCGTGGGCCTGCTCACCGGGATGGCTCGGCCCCAGGTGGATCACAGCCCGCCGCGTCTGGGTCACCGCCCGCCGCATCTGGGTCACCGCCTGCCGCGTCCGGGCTGCTGGCCTTGGCCTCGGCCTCTGCACTCTGCTCCCCACCCTCCTCACCCTCCGGCTGCCCAGCATGGCCTATACTGTCATTTGCTTCACTGGCCCCTTCTTTCTTCTTTTCTGCCAACACCTCCAGCCCCATCATCCTGAGGTAATGAAGCCGTTCATTCTTGGGCACAAACGTTCGAATGGAGGCCTTTCCCCGCCATCCACACAACACAATGGGACACTGAAGGGCATCGGGATTCCTACAAACAAAGCAGCTTCTTGTAAGTGGTGAACATTCTCAAAACAGCATCTAAAGAGATGTATGTGCAACCTCTTAAAAAACAAAAATACCCACAAAACCACCAAAACTACTAGGAGAACATTTAAACCTGTGACCCTACGTCCCAAAGAAAACCAATGCCCTTGGGCAAGCCTTCCCTCCACTGAGCAGCCCCTACCCCTGCGGAGTCCAAGCACCTCCACTGCTAACACATCCATCCTCCTCCAGTGTCTAGTCCTGCGCTCCCCCCGGCTAAATGAGCGAGAGACATTTCTCCCATGCTCCTCACATTCTCCTTGGAGCCAGGTGACTTTCCCAAAGTCACAATGCAGGTGTGGGATCCACACAACCCTTCAACACCCAGAGCTTCATCTATATGGGTATGTAGTGACCCCCAGTGTGCTGAGCCCTGCTGGGCCCATGTCATCCCTGCTCCCCATGTGCAGCACTACCTGTGCTGCGCAGCAACCCACTCGGCCCCCACCCCAAGCAGAGACAGTCGGTGTCCACCATGCAGGCCGCCTTTGCAAGTACTTGGCCAGGCAGGGGCTCCCGCCTCACTGTGCATTTTCCTTCCCTCATGGCCCTGCTGCGATCCCCACCACATGGCCACTCAACCCGCCCCTGCCTCAGGGTATCTCTGGGAAGTTCCTGCTCATCCTTCAGCCAGGGATCCAATGCTGACTTCCCAAGAAAACCTGCACCGTGGCTCTCCCCAACCACCTCCCAAACCCACTCAGCTGTCATTGGTGAGCTCCTAATCCCGACACTCTTTTGAGCCAAAGTGCTCCCGGCAAGCCCCATAAGGCTGCTCCCTGGTGTCCTCACCTGGCAAGTGCTACCGACACCAGCGCCTACTGCTCCAAAGGCTCCCATGAGGATCTGGGGAGACCATACCTATAACCGTGCACCCCACACCCCAGCTGATGTGTGCAGGTGACCAGCACACGCTGTATGAACCGAAGACTGCGACCAGGAACGCAACCCCACTGAATTGCCTAATCTTTACATTCACTCTGCATTAGATAGAAACTTAACTTAAATTCTAATGCTTAAAGAATAAGCACTACACACTTTATTCTCTAAGTAAGAATGCATTTGGCCCAAGTGTTTTATTAAAATGTACCTTCATGAAGACCTACATGAATATTCTAGGCCTGAGGTGCTCACAATCCTACCTTCCGGGAACAATCCTAAAAGGCCCTGAGTTCCTGAAGCTCCACCCTCCCACCTGACTTCCCCAGCAACCCATCCCCACACAGCTGACCAGGCGGCATCTAACACAAGGCACACGGTGACTTACGTGGGATCCGGTTCATACTTCAGCACGATGCTTCCCTTTGCTGGAAGAGAAACAGATACACGTTTGCCAGCTTTTCGGGTGGGGCACCTATGACACCATATTCATGTGCACAGTGCTGTGAAGCACTTCGATAAGAGGAGGAACAAATCACAGCCTCAGCTCGAGGACCTGGATGGAAGGACAGGGCTTCTGAGCATGAAGCCAAGTCCTGGCAGGGTGCCGAGAATGCCCTGGAGGAGGGCCTAAGCAAGAACCTTCAGGGTTTAAGGTGAAGTGACTTACGGTCACTCGGGGTGGCAGGGAGGCTGGGAGTTCCCTACTGATCAATTCTCAAAATTTGAGATAAAACAAATCATAGCACGAAATCCCAGGAACAGCATGAAATACACAAAAATAGTCAAAAATAATACCACAATCACCTAAACACAGGATTCAAGGGAACAAGTACAAACAGTTCCCTCATTCCTTAAAATAATCTCTACATTAAATTGTGGTTGTCACCTGAGAAGACGCCTGCAGGAAGCAGACGACACACACAGCTCAGGCTGCACAGGCTCGAGCCTCGACCACACCACTGCAGTAACCAAGGCATGTGGTTTCATCAGGCCGAGTCAGAAACACTGAACAGTAAGTCGTAACAAATAAACAAGAATGAGAACAAGAGGGAAACACAAGTAGAATAGCTTGGCAAAATCATTTTCCCCGCTTAGGTGGAATGTCCCTGGAGTGATCTGAAGGGAAGTTTATGAAGTGTAGAAACAACAGTGCACCAGTAGCCTGCCCGGCCAGCTAGCAGAACGGACACTGGGCTTTGTTATTTTCCTTTAACAACGACAGTTAACCAATGACCCAGATACTGGCGTTAGCTGGTCTCGTCCCCTACAAACCTTGTCCACAGATGGACCCGAGCACCAGGGACCTGTGGACACTGACAGGCCGTGAAGCAGGAGACTGGGCGGGGCTGCGCACGCAGGCCTGCCCCCAAAACCTCACGGGCTCACGCAGGCTGCCGGGCCACACCAGGTGCTCTCCCAAGACCCAGGGACACAGAGCAGCCCCTAGGGGATGCCTGTGATCTAACTATTTCAAGAAGTCAATCAGGCTTCCACAAAAACCTTTGCAAACTGATGTAATCAATTAAAAAAGAGCTACAGTATACTAAAACATATGCTCAAAGTGCCAAAAACCCACACACTTTTTTCATTGTCCTTATAAAGGTAACCCACATCACACAACTCAAATTGCTCACCCAGGTCCTTGGCTTGACTGTAGGTTTCACTGCTGAGTTTTCTAAAAAATGGATTTTCCTGAGTCAATAGTATCTTAACATCTTCCATTGACACAGTAATAATTCTTGAATTAATGAATGGATACAATGTATATATTCCCTGTGGAAATAAAAAGAAAAGTCTCCAGGACACTCCTGTGAATGACAACAATCACCTGCTCTCAGGGACTCCTGTGCCCAGGCCTCACTATACAACCCCCACCCCAGGAGGAAGCCAGTGCCCGGGAAGTGTGGCCACCTGCACCTTCAGGCAGGCGCTGGCCGCTGTGAAGCCCAGTGGACTCCCAACCGTGTCCTGTAGATTCAGGGCTTGTGTTAATCAAGTTCCCAAATTACCTCCTGTGCCAACCGGAAAGCACAATCAAACTCTTCACCACTGTTATTTCGACACCAGACTTTTATCCCTGTGTTAATAACCTGTAAGTGAAAACATCAGCTGAAACACGCACAAACTCAGGACAACCAGAAAATCCCTCTGCTGTGAGGAGGAGGAACAGGAAATCGCCAAGAAGTACCTGCCTCCGACAGGGGTTCCAAGAACCACCGATACTAACCACTTCCGTGCATGTGGCTCACAGGTACAGACTGTCACCACACCAGAAATTAAAACCAGGGAACTTTGAAACCCCAAGAATATGTATGCACACATCTCATGGGCTACCAAAGGCAAGGATGCTGTCACAAGTCACCCCCAAGAGATGAGTGAAAATGCAGATCTTGTCTGAGGATCATTACAGAACTCTGAGGATGCCCCAGAGCATTAGTGACCTGCTGCGTTAAACAAACAGGTAAAGGGGGTAATGCCCTCAGAGAGTGGTGACACAAATGGAGAAGGGGCCCCAAAGTGCCAAAGTTCTAAGGAAAACACCTAAGAGGACAAATCACAAGGGCCACAGGAGTAGTGGCAGCTGCAGTCCCTAAACCCTATGCCCTCTCCCAGGAGGCCAAGCTGTGAGAACTGCACAGAGGCTTGTCTAAAGGACAGGGGCACGTCTGGTGAAGGACACAGGCCACCAGATTCAGGAGGGACCTGGTGGGACTGCTCAGTCCCATGCCGACCAACTGCTCTGAAACCACAGGGCAGGCTTGGGGCCCTCAGCCACCACTACAGGTTAGGGAGGCTGCATGCCCGTCCCCCACCAGGCACCTTCATCCTCTCACTGTTGTTCAACAGCACGTTTCTCAGCTCCTTAGAAACCATGTACAGTTGCCTCTTCTTCCCTTCCGTAGTCCGAGTTAACAAATTCATCTTTGGGAAAGAAGGATCCAATGCATAAAATCTCCTGTAAACCAAAGAGTGCTGTTCATACTAGTTCAAAACCTGGTAGACTATCTCTAAACACCCTCTCTCCTACAGCCTGCAGTGTGGTGCGGGGGCAGTGGGCTCCACCCTGCACTTAGCTTCATCCCCCACTAGGAACCTCCAGTTCAACCCAGGACCTACATTAACAAGCACAGCTTCTCTGTATCAGCAGCTACTCCAGTGATGAGGACCCGAGGGCACTTGTTTTGAGACTGATGCAAAGGACCAATTACCCAAAAGACAACACAGTGGCCACTCTGGTATAGACACACTAAGACTCCTCAGTAAGAAACACCTGAGCCTGAGACTGTCTCCTGAGCACCTTCCCCGTGCTCTGCCTACACCATCAGTAAGGAACCGGCACCACCCGCCACTCTTAGCTCCTCAGCAGGCTCTGAACCGAGCGGCCCTGGCCACTGCACCCTCAGTGCCATGAGGACATTTATGCTCAGGATCCTGACTGGGCAGCTCACGTTCAGAATCACAGTCCTGTTTTTTCACTTATCGTTTTTACACATTCTTTTTGTGTAAAGCTTTCTCTTCACCTTAAATTGAAAGGTTGAATAAACCAGCCCTAAAGTGCCTTCCTGCTCCAACATGTTAAAAAAAACCCCACATGGTGCTAAACATGAAACAACGGCCAGTTGTGGTCAGCACACACTTACTGCCCTGGAGTCAATTTCCTTACGGACAAGTTTAGAACACTGAAGGGCCCTTACTCAATAGGGGGAAGGAGCGGGTCATCCTCAGGAATAAACACAAATGGGTCTTCTTTAAATCCAAATAACTTCATTTTCTTTGAAGGAGGAGGACTAAAAAAGGAATTAGGATAAGACAAACAAACCTGTGATTGGGACATAAACACCAAAAGCATCCCTCCTCCCCGTGCTCACGCAGCCTGTGAGGGGTCCTGCAGCAGGAAGCAGACGCTGACACTGCCCACCCGAGGCGGCCACTCACGCTGCACTCCACAGCACGCGCTGCTCTCACACACACCCTCCCGGCCCCCAAGGGGGTCCCCCTTACTCCAAGAGGCTGAGCAAACACTAGATCATTACCAACTCTTTCTCTTACCCACACACGCCATCTTTCTTGTTGCCATTATTCTCTAAATTCTCAGATGTTTGAATTATCTCTGTGTCACCAGTCCCAGTGACTGACTGGCTTTCCAGCGAGGAGGGGTCTGCAGGTTTCCCTTCTGGGGGATCTGCAGGGCTCAACTGGGAGGTTTCTCGGCTCCCTGCAGACTTACCCTGCAGCTGTCAGAGGGAAGAAGTTCATTTACACACAAAGAGCAGGGCACTCTAGCCTGGGCCACAGTGATACTGTCTCAAAAAAAAAAAAAAA